CAGTGAAAGAATGGGGGGGGGGGGGGGAGGAGGAGAGAGCTTGAGAATAAGAGGGAGGGATCCAGGAAAAGAAAAATAGAGATAGATAGCAGAGAGAGCGAGAGAGAGAGAGGGGGGGGAGAGGAGGAGAGAGATAAAGAGAGAGGGAGAGAGAGGGAGAGAGAGGGGGAGGGAGAGAGAAAGCGAACGAGAGAGAGCGAACGAGAGAGAGAGAGAGAGAGAGAGAGAGAGAGAGAGAGAGAGAGAGAGAGAGAGCGATAGAAAGAGAGTGAGCGAACGAGAGAGAGAGATAGATAGATAGAGAGAGAGAGAGAGAGAGAGAGAGAGAGAGAGAGAGAGAGAGAGAGAGAGAGGGGGGGGATCTCGAAAGGGGGGGGGGGGCACCCTCGTTAGCACGAGTTTATACGTTCTTATACGAGTCCATTTTCCTCTGCAACTTTGTGTAGCCTAGGTCAATTTTTAAAGGCACACATTTTCTGGCAATCACCGTTTGTAGTTTTATTTTCGATTTTCGAGTCACTTCCCTTGATTGGGCTGATTGTGTTGGATGGATGGAAGGATTGCAACGTCTTTCAGTGATGTTGTCATCTGTTTTCAGCTCGTTGTGCAATGGGAATCTAGACTCTATATTTAGGCTAAGTTCAATGGTGTTGTAGCGTATTATATAGATCAAACTGTTGATTGATCGGACTCAGTGTCAGCGATTCCAAGGTTTATACACTGGGAGGTAAGACTTGAGCGGACTCAAATCTCGCAGACAATTTACTTTACAAAACAACGAGCGACCGCTCTGAACTCTATCATGAATTTATGCTCAATATGGCCATCAAAATCAGTAGGGAAGACGGAAGTCCTAAAGCATGTTACTAGATCTAGATCTAGATCTAGATATCTAGATCTAGATCTAGATACAATGTAACTACCTCTACAAATGATGAAATTGCAGTGGTTTACATATCTCCAGCGCAAAGTTTTGAATAATATAATATAGTTTATTAATTAGAAATCTTTAATATATGGCCACCTCTATTCTCACCCCGGGTGAGAATACCGCAGGCGAGTCTTTTGACTTTTGGCTATTCTCACCCGGTGGGCATTCACCGTTATAGTATAGCCTAGGCCAACCAGTTAATCGTTCACCCTGAACCACAGAATTCTACACTCTCTCTCTTTTGCTATCTCTAATGTCTCTATCTTATAAAACGTTCTAAATTCTACTAGATCTAGATCTACTGTTAGTGTTAGCGGCTGGATTGTACTTTACCGGACCACCCGTCTCGGCCCGTGATTACTACGCACGCCTAGCCTAACTACGCACTCATAGTACTCTGCGTGCGGACAAAAGGTAGTTCCGCGGGCGACTTCGCGCACGCACAGCGAAGTCAGCGGCGACTGGCGAGGCGAGGTGAGCGAGAGGTGGTGGTGGTTGAGAGTGGGCAGGGGATTTAACTTTGGTGGACCACCGTGTATCATACCAACAACTATAATAAAGAAAACACACAAAAATGCGAAACAATAACATGAGCGGACAGTCGTGTTTACATATCAATGGGGGGGGTTTCAGGGGGGCTAGCCCCCCTGCCAACAATAATTTAAAGACACTCACACACACACATATAAACAATAGCATGATAAGTCGCGAGCAGGGCCAATGGGGTTGCAATTATGCAAATGAGCTCTGGTGCCCATCTCTAGCCCTCCATTGTACTTTGCCGGACCAGGAGTAGGCCTAGGGCCTAGGCCAAGCCAGCAGAGTCGCGAGCAAATAAGAATAGTGGACCACGTGATTAGATTGACCAATTAGCCTCAAGGTGTCAGGGTCATGGGTCAAAGGGCACAGTGGCACGGTCGTGATGACTGAAAAACCCGGTAAGAGACGGCAGTCGATTGCTGGCAGTTGAAGAGGGAGGACGTAGAAAACTGAGTAGGAGAGTGAGTAGTCACTGAGTAGGGGAGCTCGGACACGAAGAACAGCGGGCCACTAGGCACCAGGGGCGCCACAGCGAAAGTAGTTCCGACCGGTGGTCCGGTAAAGTACAATCTTACCGTGTTAGCCTAAAAGCGTGCAATTTTGGGCGCTTTTTCGGTAGTTCCCACCCCGCATAAATTGTTATTCGCCGGTTTTGGCCCCAAGAGTAGGGGGGTTTCAGGGGGGCTTGCCCCCCTGACCTAATAAAAACAAGGTGGGGGGTTTCAGGGGGGCATGCCCCCCTGAATTTTACCACAATTTAATGTTTTGCAGTTGTTAGGTTTGACATCTTAGCTTGCCGCGAATCAAACGTATATAGATCTAGATCTAGATGTAGGTCAGGCTCTATCAAATAAGGGGGGTGGGAACTACCGAAAAAGCGCCCAATTTTGTCTGTGGGCAGTGGAGAAAGAGAGAGAGAGAGGAGACGCGCAAGAACTTCCGGGCAAAAGAAAATGGCGACCCGCGTAGTTCGGCTCGATTCGGAAAGTTAAACAGCCGTAGCATCTTTGTAGACAACCAAATTAATTTACTTTTGTGTTTTAACATCATTTTAAAACTTTGTTTTGGTCAATTTGATCGTCCGCACCGATAGACAGTATTCAGAAAGAGAGAGAGGGGAGGAGAAGATCTTGCGAGAACTTCCGGGCAGAACAAAATGGCGACCCGCGTAGTTCGGTTCGATTCGAAAAGTGAAATAGCCATAGCATCTTTGAAGATGATCAAATAAGCTTACTTTTGTGCTATAACGTAATTTTTTCTAGGCTTTTATCAATTTGATCATCCACACAGATAGAAAGTATTCCGAAATGAGGAAAAACAGGTCTTGTTTCACACCGGGTGAGAATAGTCTACGCTGGCAAGTCTCACCCGGGGT